ATTACCGCGTTTTCCTCTAAGTTCGGTAAAATTTTTGAAAACCACTGTTCAAACGATTCGCCATTCATTTCCTCGTGGTACCTTTTTAATATCAATCTGATAACTGTTATGACTTGACCCGAGTTCCGGCTTGACGTCGACTTCTAGGACACCCTGTATATTGAAAAGCATATGAACCAAAACCGTACCCTGTGGGACGCCCCATTTAATAAACATTTCATTACTTGAAAATTTGGATATCCAAACAGATTGCTGTCATATAACTTCCAAAAAACACGCAATTACCATGCTTCCTCACCCAGTGGCGTAGAAAGTAAGATATCAAAACCTACAAAGCTTTATTTAAACTCGATTGCATTACGATGAGGTTTCAGGTTCATGCTCTAACCAAAAACCATTATCCACCACCACCTATGCTAAAATAGGCTCGTAATTGAACTATTATTAGAGGGATTTCGAAGCAAAATGAGAAAATAGTTTGATGTTTGTTTCCGTAATGAGTTTCATTAAAATCGTGTGTGTGTATATAGATAGCAAATGCCCGCTTGTGGACGTTGACGTCCACGGACAATTACGTTTTAACGAGCTGAAAATTATGATTATGCGAGTTTCAGAGTGTTCATCGCTGCTAACGAGATGCGTCCTTAAAATATTATCTACGTAACAATGTATCAACGTGTCGGAAACAGAAGCGGTCAGAAGTTTGAAGAACTTCAGCATTCAAGAGCACACACTAGATAAGTTATAGTGTGGAGACGTGGAGAACTTTTTCGTAAAAACGTTTTTTCTGCCTATTAGTGCAATCCCCAGGCAGCTGCCCGAAAAGAGCGGGTACAACCTCACGGAAATCGCTCCCCATTAAATCTTGCTCAAACTTTGAGGACGTCATGGGCACTTAGCAATCCTATGAAGCGTTTCCATGGTCTACAGGGCGTCCCAAATATGCAAGAACGGGGTATCGCTCCTAAATAAAAACTTCTTAATAATACTACTACAAGTACGAGTATATGAGCCAACGAGCCCCTTAGGTCTATTTAATATCATTAACACGTAAAAAGAAGGTGGTAGACAAGAACCAGTCGACCGAGGCGGTACCACCAGCTAGCTTTTCCCAGGGTGTCTTATAAATGTCCGCGTGTTTCCACACCTAAGCTATGGAGTCGGTTATCTTCCAAAACAAAGAAATTAATGATGATGGATCCCTCGAGCACCAAGAACTCCGGACGTAAGCTCACTCCACTCTCGGAATGTCCGGGTGTCGGGTGGCCTCGAGGGAACAAAATCGAAGATAAAATTTGTTTTACGAACATCTGCGGGATTAACAGCAACATTGATGCTGTTCATCACTACCTGCAATCCAATCGTCCCGCCGTGCTTTTCTTGGCGGAGACAAAAATCTCAGAGTCTGCACCGATCAACCATCTTAAGCAGTCTTTCCTGCTCCAGAGATGTTTCTTTGGAATCAGACCGGAAGGACATTCTGTGGCTTCGCCTCAACTCCAAAACATCACCCAAATTTATTTGCTGCCTTTATCGCTCCCCCTCGGATCATAACTGGGATGACCTAGTCGAATACCTCGATCGACTTCCTGAACATCAATCACCCCGCTTCAAAGGTAGTTCTTCTCGGCGATTTCAATGCCCGCAATGAGCTTTGGTTGGGCTCAAACAAGACCGATGCAGCAGGTCGTGCAGTCGAAGCGTTCGCTCTTAGTCAAGGGTCTACTTGTTTCCCCCGCGTCTCGTCGCACGCCAGTAGCCTGCTGGATCTCTTTCTGACCACGCATCCTGTCCCTTACAGCACTGCTGTCCTGTCCCCCCTGGGTAACTCAGACCATGGTGTTGTGGAGGTTAGGTTTCTGTCACAACCCGCTGTGGCAGCAGAAACTCGCACAGGCCGCAAAACTTGGCATTACGGACATGCCGACTGGAAGGGGCTCAGAGACTTCTTCTCTAGCTTTCCTTGGAGAGATGTCTGTTTCACTGACGCGGATGCGTCGGCTGTCTGTTCGTCGATAACCGAAATTATCCACGTCGGAATGGAGGAATACATCCCTCACACAGTGAAAGTGCCTCGACTAGGATCCAACGGCTGGTTTAACAAATCCTGTGACGCTGCTCGCCAGCAGAAGATCAAGGCACACAGAAGCTTCTTACAAAACCCCACTGTAGAGAACAGACAAGCCGGCGCTGAGTCCAGAAGCAAATATAAAGAAGCAGTGCGTCTGACTTTGGCGTCCCATCCTAACCGCGTCGAACTTCGTACATCCAGAACTGGCCGTTACGACCGCTCCTTTGTCCCGAGGGTGTCGAGATTGTGGGACAATCTACAAGTGGAAGCTTTTCCCAGTTCTATTAATCTTGCGCAGTTCAAAAATCGTACTAATAAAATTTCTTTGGGATCATCATAGCAGCCGCGGTGTTCCGGCATTTTAGGCTTCTGCCTGCGCGGCTGCTTCTATATATAAAAAAAGGACTAGCGATTAACCTTGCACTATGCTAAGCGCTGCGAGCTCTCCGCCATTTATCTCAAAAACGATTAATTATATGAAAATATGGTTGAAATACAACCTGTAAAAAATCTTATTCTGTACTATACTTATAATAAATACAAATAGCATTAAGCCCATTGGAAGCGATATCTTTGCAAAAAAACCTATTTTTGTGATCTTTGACGCAACGGTGCCGCCATTTTTCATACACAAATTTCATCAACACATAAAGAGTAAGTGGTTGCAAGACCAAAATCATAGGATTAAGGGTCACTACACAGGTTAGGAAATTTTGAAATTCGACATCGTTGCCTCCGAAAACAAGACAGAAACGTAACTGGGACCTTTTGCAACTATGAGACTCCCTTGCAATATCGACGTTTAGGCAACCAGAGTTACGGCACCGTGCATAACGTGCGGTATAGCAGATATTTAGAAAGGACACCTTCTAGAATGATAAACATGATAGAAAACCAGCAGAATGCTTACCTTGTACGCGGGTTAATAGACATAGTCTTCAGCTTCCATGAAGCGCTGGTACAGTCCACATAGTCATAATGTATAATAAATAACGGTGATAAATAGATTAGTAGATAAATAAATATATGAAAATAAAACAGTATAAATAGTATCACATGCTCATATGGTACGAATTTAAAATATAATTGAGGATATAGTCAGTTCTGTACTGTAAGGATTTACAATTCAAAATTTCAATCGGCATAAGGTTAAAAATGCTTTTCTAACAGAGTATCATAGATCCTGAAGATACTTAAGTCTGCGCTAAAGGAAAATGACATCTACGAAAATGGTATTTGATAGCGCTACGGATTCTATAAATATATCATTAAAGTTCGTTCGAATAAGTTTTGGTACAATGAGAATGTCATCAATTCTATTAAAACAAAAAGAGCAATTAGGTGCAAGAACAAAATTATAGGATTAAGGCACAGCTTAGGCAATCAGAGTTACGCCACCGTGTATCAAGAGTGGTGTAGCTTACCGCACGATCGAGATGGATCGGTCGGCATCGGGAGCGTTCGAGAAGTGTTAATAGAGATCTACGCGCTGGCAGACTCTGGATTGCCCAATTTTTTAACTGGCCGATACGACCGCTCCTTTGTCCCGAGGGTGTCGAGATTGTCAATCTACAAGAGGAAGCTTTTCCCAGTTCTATTAATCTTACGCAGTTCAAAAATCGTATTAATAAAATTTCTTAGGGATCATCATAGCAGCCGCGGTGTTCCGGCATTTAGGCTTCTGCCTGCGCGGCTGCTTCTATATATAAAAAAAGGACTAGCGATTAACCTTGCATTATGCTAAGCGCTGCGAGCTCTCCGCCATTTATCTCAAAAACGATTAATTATATGAAAATATGTTTGAAATACAACTTGTAAAGAATCTTATTCTGTACTATACTCATAATAAATACGAATAGCATTAAGCCCATTGGAAGCGATATCTTTGCAAACAAAACTATTTTTGTGATCTCTGACGCAACGGTGCCGCCATTTTTCATAAACTAAAAATTTCATCAACACATAAAGAGTAAGTGGTTGTAAGACCAAAATCATAGGATTAAGGGTCACTACACAGGTTAGGAAATATTGAAATTGGACATCGTTGCCTCCGAAAACAAGACAGAAACGTAACTGGGACCTTTTGTAACTATGAGACCCCCTTGCAATATCGACGTTTAGGCAACCAGAGTTACGGCACCGTGCATAACGTGTGGTATTATAGCTTATTGCATGATCCAGATGGATGGGCCAGCATCGGGATCGCTCAAAAAGTAATGATAATAATGTTTATTGTCCAAACTATAAGCAGATATTTAGATAGGACACCTTCTAGAATAATATACTTGAGAGAAAACCCGCAGAATGCTTACCTTGTACGCGGGTTAATAGACATAGTCTTCAGCTTCGATGAAGCGCTGGTACAGTCCACATAGTTATAATGTATAATAAATAACGGTGATAAATAGATTAGTAGATAAATAAATATATGAAAATAAAACAGTATAAATAGTATGACATGCTCATATGGTACGAATTTAAAATATAATTGAGGGTATAGTCAGTTCTCTGCTGTAAGGATTTCCAATTCAAAATTTCAATCGGCATATGGTTAAAAATGCTTTTTTAACAGAGTATCATAGATCCTGAAGAGACTTAAGTCTGCGGTAAAGGAAAATGACATCTACGAAAATGGTATTTGATAGCGCTACGGATTCTATAAATATATCATTAAAGTTCGTTCGAATAAGTTTTGGTACAATGAGAATGTCATCAATTCTATTAAAACAAAAAGAGCAAGTAGGTGCAAGAACAAACTTATAGGATTAAGGGACAGCGTAGGCAATCAGAGTTACGCCACCGTGTATCAAGAGTGGTGTAGCTTACCGCACGATCGAGATGGATCGGCCGGCATCGGGAGCGTTCGTGAAGTATTAATAGACATCCATGAAGCGCTGTTTTTAACAGAGTAACATAGATCCTGAAGAGACTAAAGTCGATGGTAACGTAAAATGCAGTATCCAGAAACTAAATAGCTGCTCACCTTTGAGGTTATCCCATCGATGACGTCATCGGGAGCAATAATGTTTCCAAGGCTTTTAGACATCTTCCTTCCATGTGAGTCGCATATGATCCCATGTAGGAGGATTTCTTTGAACGGTAATTGACCTGTTAGGTGAGTTCCTAACATCACCATTCTCGCCACCCAGAAGAACAAGATGTCGTGGCCGGTCTCCATCAGAGATAAAGGGTAGAATCGGTCAGGAGCGGCCTGGAAACAAACATAACCTAGATTAACTTACACGCTAATTCATGTAGTAATTTCATAATTCTCTGCAGTCATTGGATTTTAACATAAGAAATATCTTTAGATGATACAAGATGGAAAAATAATGCTACTAGGTATAAAACTGGGAAAATAATAACACGTACACCAAAGATTTTCGCTCTATATAGTTACATATACCTCACAAGAGATGGCGCGTCTAAAACAAGTCACTTTTTTTACACTTGACTTTCGTTCTGAAGAGGAGCATTATTTTCAAAGATGGGTTCCTCTCTCTCCTCCTGTCTTTTCAAAACTACAAAAATCATTAGCATCAATCGTTGGCATCAAGTGATTCCCATCTGCTCCTTTAGTTGAAAAATCATTTGTCAAGGCAATTCGGGTTTGACGAATAGGTGAAAAATGGGATTCAATGCTTTCTTAAGGACCTGGCGGTGAGCTCATGTCACATGGACATACGACTGGAATCGCAATGACGCAGAAGTATAGATCAATATTTAAGCTCTATAATTACGTTTCAGGTCTTCGAAATACATGCGTTTTGTAATTTTAAACAATATGGAACCTGAGCTTCGATACTGATTATGACGTATGGTGTATGGTAAGATCATACTGTATAATAATAATAAAAATAATGATAATTAATAACAGTTAATCATCCCGAAATCACGTTGTGTTACTAAGGGCGCGGAAGCCCGAAATAGATAAATCTACTACAATGCACTACGAAAGATAGAGAGATAAAGATACCTTTTTCGGCCAACCAAAAGCTGAAAGCGGCTGCAAGGCAGATGAAAACCAGGTGTCGAGCACATCTTCATCCCTTTGGATGACAATTTCTTCCTCAGCAACTCCCAAAACGGCCATAGCCTTTGCAAGCGCAGCGGCTTCATCTTCGGCTGCAACCCATTTCTTGTCGGAAGGTTGGTCGAGAAGATGGTAGGAATACGCAGGGATTTGATGGCCCCACCATAATTGACGAGAGATGCACCAATCTCTGTAAAAAAACAAAGAATGATTACGGGTGAGAAGTTCACCACCTTTCCATTCTTCAGAGCTTTACTAATATCATATAACGTCTGTTTCCAGAGAAATCCAGGAATTTCATCTGGACCAGCTGAATTCTTACACTTGAGTTTATGTTTTAGCAGGTTTGGAAACTCGTCTTCGTTGAACAGATGTAGAAACATTGTTCAAAGTTGCACTGAAATACTGTTGCTTTCATGAGCTGCGATGTTATATCCAGTGGATCAGTTATAACAGTTTCATCTACTTTTAAGAGGTATTGTTTCTTCTTTTTGAGTTATTTCAGAGTCTATTTTCCAAGTATCATGTAAGGTGCCAAAATTACGTAATATTTTTTTTTCTATTTTAATCAGTAACTTGAAGTTCTGTTTATGATGGTAGAGTACCCATTCCTAGGCCAAACCCTTTTTCATGATTTTCTTTTTGCAAATTTCAAAGTTTATTGATTGTATAATTTCACACATTATATCTTTCTTTCTCAGCGTCTCAGTATTGTGTTGAAATCTTTTGTAGACGAATGTTAACAACTATCTCAGAAATTTCCTTATAAAATATCGATGGTCCCTCGTAGAGTTGGTTCCGCCCATTAGCAATCAGCGCCACTCTGTGGTTTCTGTACGTACTAGCCTGTATAAGAATATTTTGTTTCCTTCTTTACCTACCAAAATACCTTCTTTACCGGTTGTTCTCCGTTCCTTTTGGTTTCCTATCTTACCTACATTCTTCATGGCCACTCATTTAACCTCTTTTTACAAAGTTAGGTGTTTCATTATCTTTCAGAGTCTGGGACATTAGACCCGCAAACACTAGTTTATGGAGTAGTACCCCTTTTATTTGGTACCTTACGTTTAATTGTTTTGGTTTGGGTGCTACCCCGTCCATTTTCTTATGAGATTTTAACCTTCAGCGGCAAATTCTTTTTTTATGCCATCGGACCACGTGTATTAATGCATGTCCTGAAGAAGGCAGGATCGATAGGAAACCAAAAGGAATGGAGAACAACCGGTTAAGAAGGTGTCTCGATAGGAAATCAAATATTCTTATACAGGCTAGTACGTACAGAAACCACAGAGTGGCGCTGATTGATAATGGGCGGAACCAACTCTACGAGGGACCAACGATATTTTATGAGGAAATTTCTGAGATAGTCGTTAATAAAATACTATAATGTTAGTGTTCAAAAGATTTCAACAACACAATACTGAAACGTTGAGAAAGAAGGATGCAATCAATAAACTATGAAATTTACCAAACGAAAATCATTAAAACATACTTATCCTAGGAATGGGCACTCTATCATGAATAAAGAGAAATTAAAATTACTAATGATTGAAATAGTAAAAAAAATGTTACGTGATTTTTTCACGTTACAATCATTCATGTTTCACCTCTTTTCTTTGGAATCTTCGACGCAGACGTAGGAAGTATAGACTCAATCTAGTGTCATTTTTTGCATTGAAACAGCCACGTTTTTTCATTCATATACCTCCAACAAAGGCGTATATACACGGAGAGTGTATTTTCTTAGGGGTAACAATGCACAATGGCTGCGTTGGAGCCTTTGTTAAGCAGCCGTCTATTATCGCTTAGCTGGTGCTCGCAAGCCACACTGATTCTTTCTTGCGGAGTAATTGATGGTTGACTCGGAATCTAGGGCTTTCGGAGCTCGCCTGCATCACGAATGAGTTGCATAGCTCCCATTAACGAGCGGTTTTTAATGAATCGAGCAAGATATCGGATATACCGCTCTTCTGGAGTAAGTCTGTATTTTTAAAAAAACCTAACAGGGAGTTCAGAATATCGTATTACAAATACCTGCTATCGTAACTTGGAAACGATTGACAGAGGGGCAACCAATCGCTCGCAATTCTGCAATTAGCCCTATGGAACACAAAACTCGATGACTACGAGGGCAAAATTCAACTGCTGGAGGATGTTAGGTTAGGTTTCTTGTGAGTGCGTCAGTAACGATCCTCCACTGCGGCTCTTTGGTCTATTGCGGCTCACGCCTATTTATAGCGTAGTTGTTTCAAGCTTTTTCCAACGAATTTCCCAGCGACAAGATTAAAAGAGACTGGGCGTTTCATAGGTTCGTGTGCAACATTATTCAGATGGCCTTTGTTTCCGGAGGCCAGAGCAAAACTGAGAATGCTGAAGTTGAACCCTCGCACAAAGGAGCAAGTTGGAAACTTCCTGTAATGCGACGCATAGAATGCGAATTAGTTTGCCCGACAAAAAGGTGTATATTATGTAGTGCAGCGTCGACGTTGCTGTGCTGCATTATTGATTATCGAACTTGTATTTCGCCCACAACAGTCTGATAATATCCTGATTAACAAGGAATATAACTTAAGCTCTTAAGCTGTGTAACAAGGAGATATTCTGTAAATGCAGTCAAAGGTGGTGGTTGTTAGGATACGGGACGTCCAGAAATTACTAAACAAAAACCGGTATAAATTGAAAATTTTGAATGTTCCAACACTCCACACGATTGCCTCATTAATTAAAACTACTAGAGCCTAGCACGTTTTACAAAATATAATGGGTGATTTTTTTGCTAGTATCTTTTTGGCAACACTGTTTTTGACAGATGACGCGTGAATCGTGTCTTGTGTCAATGTCAAACTTGTTCAGTTTGGTCTATAATTTAACCACGAATCGACTTACGAACGAACAACGCTTGCAAATTATTGAATTTTCCTGTCAAAATTCATGCTCGGTTAAGAGAGTGCATCGAACACTGCTTCCAATTTATGGGCAATTTGGTCGGCCTACTGAGGGAGCTATTCGGAAGCGTGTGACTAAATTTCGAACCCAGTTTACATTATTGGACATTAAACCACCAACAAGCAGACGTAGAGTGAGGACTGAAGAAAATATTGCGGCTGTATCCGCCAGTGTTAGTGATGACCGTGAAATGTCGATTCGCCGCCGTTCGCAGCAATTGGACCTCTGTTACTTCACTACGTGGAAAATTTTGCGACAGGATTTGGGTAAAACCTTATAAGATACAGCTGGTGCAAGAATTGAAGCCACACGACCTCCCACAATGTTGTTTTTATAAAATAACAATGTAAATATTGATGCAAAAAGAACGAAAATAAACCACAAATGTCACAACACAGAAAACTGTTACCCGGGAATTCAAACTATGCGTACCAATCTAGAATCTATTTTGCATTAAGGTTGGCATTCAAATTTACTAAATATGACATAACTGCTTTGTTTCTGTGAATAAACTATGTGTAAGGCATTTTATTTCTGAAACTAATGAAGAATGTTCGTAATTTTGTCTGGCAGTGTAAGAGCAGATACAGAAAGTTCTATGAGCACTAAGCGCAAACTTTCTCCAAACATGAATCCAGCTCATGGCATATTTAAGCAACTGGGAAATTTTTAGCAAATTAGCTTCCGCATTACCCGCGGCATCTTTATCCCTGTTCCAAAAACTATTCAAACTCGAACTACGGCCTCTAACTTGGCGCAGAAGTTTGCAATAAGAGAAATCTTGAATGGATTCTTCCCTGTCTGTGGCTAGATCCCATTTGGTTACCATAGGCGGGTACAGAAACGGGAATTTCATACACTTTTCGAAAAACATCTCTGTTCCGAAGATAATCACATTTTTTACTTAAAAAATTTACTTGCTAAGTTTCCCAATCTTTAAAAACTGAAGATCGTTATTAGGCAAATTAAAAGACTCTCTTCGAGTGAATTTCATGTTGATACCATATCGCAAACATCGCTTTACTGTTCAAAGTCTAACTCATTACTGCTACATTAATTTATAACAAATTTTTTATTTTATTTATATCGAAACAGCCGCGCAGGCAGAAGCCTAAATGCCGGAACACCGCGGCTGCTATGATGATCCCAAAGAAATTTTGTTAATACGATTTTTGAACTGGCCAAGGTTAGTAGAACTGGGAAAAGCTTCCTCCCGTAGATTGTACAACAATCTAGACACCCTCGGGACAAAGGAGCGGTCGTATCGGCCAGTTCTGGATGTACGAAGTTTGACACGGTTAGGATGGGACGCCGAAGTCAGGCGGGTCTGTCTGGCAGGCACATCGCGCGGCGGCATCATGGAAGAGAGCTCTGAGGAGCAAAGTCCGTTGGTGTAGCGATAGAAAAGAGCCAGATTGCCGACGGCCCGCCGGTGCGAAAGAGTTCCGAGACTGTCTGTTAGAGAAGAGTCATCGATCAGTCGGACCGCCCTCCTCTGGACAGCATCGAGCATGGACAATGTAGTCGGGGCGGCAGCACCCCAAATGTGTGAGCAATACTCGAGGCTAGGCCTTATCTGGACCTTGTATAGAGTGAGAAGGTCATGCGGAGAAAAGTACTTCTTAGCCCTAAACAAATAGCCTAGCTTTTTCCCAGCAGCCGCAGCCATTGAAGAGATGTGTTCGTGCCAGATCAGGTCCTCGGTGATCTGGACTCCGACCAGCCGAAATGAATGGCTCTTTGGTAGAACTCGACCGTCCATCGAAACTGTATGAGCGCTAGGACGCTTTTTGTTCGTCAAAGTACAGTACTGTGTTTTGGAAGCATTGAACTGTACAAGATTGTTGCGTCCCCAAGCAGTGATAGCCTCCAGGTCTCTTGTCAGAGAAGAAGTCGTCGCTAGTCTTCTTTTTTCCAGCTCAGCGGCAGAGATCGGCTTGTCACTCTGAATTCCTGCATGCAGAGTGCTGTCATCAGCGAAGCTGTGGATTGGGTTGATCGTACAGGAAAGGAGGTCGTTGATATGTAAGAGAAACAGTGTTGGAGCCAAGACCGATCCCTGGGGAACACCCGCGTTGACGTTGTGGGATGAAGAGGAGAATCCGTCAATTACGACGGATATCTTGCGGCCAGAGATAAAGTCAGCCACCCATCTGCAAAGCTTTTCTGGGAGGCCGCAGGATGGAAGTTTGCTCCAGAGGGCAGCGTGCCACAGCTGATCGAACGCTTTCGTGATGTCAAGAG